AAATAGAAAAGGACAGAAATTCAGCTGTGTCCGAACTCTTATCTACTAGAACCATCCAGTGACTCTTGTAAAAACCAATTTCAAATCAAAATCAGTCATTTCAAGCACCTATACCTACAAGTAAATTATTATTATGCAAGATACAATGTTCTCATTCTTTCCTTGCAGCTCGAAATCTTGAAACGGTGGGGATGTCAAGCCACCGAATACAATGTTACCACTAAGGACGGATACCAAATTTCTATTGTGAGGGCTTGGCCCACAAATATCACACAGCCCATACCCATTGTTATGGGCCATGGCATATACATGAACTGCTTGGGCTTCATCAGTATGTTCAATAAAACGATTGGTATGTACCTTTGATTGCCAGTCCTGTAGCATATCTCGAATACTTTTGCAAGTATCATCATTTCACAGGATGTTCCTATTTGAAACGGATATAAACTATTCGATAAAAGCAAACTCAAGTTAGTGAAGTCGTAGAAGTTTCACGTCCATAGTATGGGTTTGAGTCCCCAATGAAAATGAACAAAAATGAAGCTATGCCAACGTGCCAAATTAGAATGAAATGTCAAGTGCCGTTTCAAAGTTATGAACCCAACAAGATTACAAAAATTGTAACTCCAGAACCGTCAAGCTCCCAAACAATAAGCAACTGTACAGTGTGTCCAGTTTTCGATGCTTTTGCCTGATATCTCAGTTATCTTTGGAGATAGAACCTTGCGGTTTTCGCGGTCCTGTGCTACTTTTTTGTGAAACTCGAGATGGCCTAATCAGATTTTGCAAGACTGTTTCCCTTTATGAGATACAGGGCGATTTTGAAAATTTATACTTTTTGGACCCCCTCTATATACACGAAGTTTCTAAACAAAAATGTCGAATCAAAATCTCATCGCATAGAAAATTTCACGCATAATCCAGTGGCGCACTTGAATTTTTTTTTCGGGGTATGGTTTTGGAGATACGACTCAAACTTATGATTTTTTAAATGGAACACCCTGTATTTCATAAGCTCATCAAATTCCTTATTATTCTGTCTTCAAAATGATATATAACGAATGAATATAAAATTCGAAATTGCCCAAAATCACTAAAATATTAAAGTTGGTTATGGATTTTTCTTATGAAAAACGTTTCATTTGAAGATATATTTCTTCAAATTTTTCCATGGAGAGGTCAAAACCAATATCAACACTTATTAATTAACAAAACACTAAACTTGGGTACCTGATAGCAACAAATAAATAGTAATAACAAGTTCATAATGTAGAATAAGCACCTGATTAGATATCCATTTTCCCCAACATACAGTTGACAAACTTTCTCAATACTTCTTATTACAGTGAGTTGCCCAACATACTTGAAGAACTTTGTGCAACAACAGAGAGGCAGTTTTCCAGGAATTACAAAGACATCTTTCAATGATCAATATGTATTGAGAAAGTTTGTGATGAAAAATGGACATCAATTTGAACAATTCAATGAATAAATCACTGAATAATTTCGAAATTCAATTGTTTTAGTAAATATTCAATCAGGTGCTTATTCTACATTATAAACTTTTCATTACTATATATTTGTGGATATCAGGTATCTGAGTCTTGTGTATTGCAAGTTGATTAGTGTTGAAATTGTTATTTCTTCCTTCATGGAACAATCAAAGAAAATATTCCTTCAATTGTAAATTTCTTTACATGCAAATCCTTCGAAAAACCCATAGCCCACTATTAAAATTCAATGTTTTAGTGATTTTTCAAAATGTTTGAAGATGTTATATTCATACATCATTTATCATTCCGAAGGGAGAAAGATAAGGAATTTAATGAGCTTATGAAATACAGGGTGTTTAATTCAAAAAATCATAAGTTGAGTCGTATTTTCAAAACCACACCCCGAAACAAATTTTTTTATGCGCCACTGGACTCTACATGAAATTCTTCAATGGGTTAAGATTTCAATTTGACATTTTCGCTGATAAACTTCGTAGATATAGAGGGGGTCCAAAAAGTATAAATTTTCAAAATCGCCCTGTATCTCATAAACGAAACAGTCCTGCAAAATCTGATTAGGCCATCTTGAGTTTCACAAAAAAGTGGTACAGGACCGCGAAAACCGCAAGGTTCTATCTCCAAAGATAACTGAGATATCATGCAAAAGCATCGAAAACTGGACACACTGTACAGTTGCTTATTGTTTGGGAGCTTGACGGTTCTGGAGTTACAATTTTTGTAATCTTTTTGGGTTCATAACTTTGAAACGGCACTTGACATTTCACTCTAATTTGGCACGTTGGCATAGCTTCATTTTTGTTCATTTTCATTGGGAACTCAAACCCATACCATGGACGTAGAACATCTGAAACTTCCACGACAGAGAAGAAAATTGTTTCGACAAACTTTCAGTTTCAGTAAACTAGAGCATGAATATTGAAACGATTAACAGATATTTCATAATGAATGTTCACCATATTCTCGCGGATTCAGAGGACGACAAAAACATTTGAATGTGCTGTCATTTTTGTTTCTTACTGAGTAAGCCATAGCCGTCTTGCGCCCAGACAGTATAAATTTGTTTCGTCGTTCAAATCGTATATATGCAAATGATGGATATTCTGAACAATTTTCATGACATATGTTTTCGTTTTATTCTCAACTGATGCATTGAATTACTAATATTGACATTCTTTTTTGAAGTTCTCGAATAGGTTACGCAATACAAATTTTATATTCAAACCCCTTTCTTTCCATTGACGTTAGAGTTTTGGATGTTTATTCACTCGAACAATACAATTCTACGCCCATGGAATGATAGTCATCATCGTAAAATTGATGAAATAATCCTCGAGTGCACGTAATTCAATCCTTTCCTGTTTTGAGATTCCTTGATTTTCGCCTTCTTCGATGAACATAACATGGCGTGGCTGAATCTCGCTGAGTTTAGTCTGGTGCCGTACCATAATTACAGGCATAAATGTGACAATTATTGTGACCGAATTGTGACCAATGAAGATAGAGGGACATTGATATAATCAAGGATAGGGATCACATTTTGCGATTTAGCCGCATCAAGGTTGGTAGAAATGATGTTGATCATAAGTTCTAGGGATCACGCCATCTAAAATTCAATATGTGAACCCCACGTCATCATCTGATATTCAATTGTTTATATCAAGAACCCGTCTGACGAGACAAATGAAGAGTAAGCATACCGGAGGTTTATTTCATCAATATCATAATCATGATATGGGTTCCATTGCCCAATGAAGCTTTGGAAACGTACCAATTTCTAGTATCTTGAGCCATTTCAAAGTTATGAAGCAAACATGGTTTGAAATTTGAAAACTGTAACTTCAAAGCCATCTAGCGTCCCTACTTAGCAATCATACTCAATTAGGTAAACCTTCAAGAGATCAAGGTATAGTATCCAGGGTGTTATTCAAGTATCTGGCCAAACTTCAAGGGGCGATTTCAATATTTGAAGTTTCAAGTATTTATTTTGGTGTTTCATGATTACCCTGTATAAGCTTTCATGATGGCGAACTTCAGTCTGGTTGGTGACAAAAAAGTCTCAGAAGTTTAGAATAATACCCATTGAGGTTAATGAGTATAATTGCAATAGGTGATTTGAGGGCACCTAAGTATATACATTACAATTTGGAGACGAATCGATCCTTCATCATTTCCTCAAAAACTAAGTGATATACAAAAAATTCAATGAACACCAAAAAATTTTTATTTTCAATTGTTCAATCTGATGAATCAACCCCCCTCCCCACAAAAAATACGTTATTTGACGATGGCGTAAGGCATTTTGAAATCGATTAGAGAGGATGCAACATTTTCATCGAAGGTGAATACATAAGAGATGATCAACGACGAAATAGTCACACTGCTCAAAGTGGAATGAGATGTTGAACGAATACAAAGAGCTCAAAGTCATATTCACACAATGGTCATAAAATGAACAGCAATGGTAGATTTCGGGAGAAAAACAACTACTTTGCTGGCTAATGCCACGCAGAACATTGAATTACATCCTCCCGAAATATATGCATCGACTCGTATATACGAATACTAATACAAGTGATTCTTTCCTGAATGCTTATCGATATCGATTAAGCCAGGTCACGCTAGACACCTACAGACCGGTTTCGAGCTCTTTGACAAAAGCCAGCAGCTGTAGGATCGTAGACTAAGCATATCCTACCCACACAAGAATCAAGTCGGCATTATATTCCTCCAGAGGCAACAGGAAAACAACGGCATCTGAGTGGGAGAGGAGGAAAGAAGCACTCCAAAACAAACTGAAAATCCCATACGGGAGTGGCTGGTTGGCCGACTGGCGTAATTTCTACGAAATAGTCACACTGCTCAAAGTGGAATGAAATGTTAAATAAATACTGAAAGTTGGATTGTTGGGTATATATATGAGAAACACTCGAACTCTTTTTCAATTGAGTAAATTCTCTTATTATCACAAAAAATTCTCATCAGGTATTTCTTCAGGAACATGACATAAGACAAAATTGCAAGTCAGTTTTTCTCGTGAAATCACTGATTGGCAAATGTTCTTCGTTAGAAAGAGACATTCATCCGATGAACCAAGCTCTCGTGTTTTGACTGTTGATAAAAATATCGAACTTTTCCAAAAATAGTGACTCCAGAAGGAGCTACTTGATACTACTAACAAAATCAGCAAGGTTCATCGAAATTGAAAAACAGAATTTTGAGTAATCAATGCGAACATGACTTTTTATTGAAAGTTTTATACTCTTTATTTTGAAAACGAAGCACTTCTGAACCTATGTTTATATGAACTCTTTCTCTAAAAAACATCCGGATAATCACTCCTTGAAGTTTGGCCAGATACCTTACTATATCGATGATATTTCCATTGTTTCCAGCCTATCAACTAACTTCTGGTTCAGACAGAAATTTGTTGTTAACACATATGCCTAACCCCTTATACCCAAATGAGACATAGCTATATTGTTTTCAGCATATAATCTAATAAAGGAAGGATATGAGATCTACCTCATCAATTTCCGTGGTACAATGTTCAGCAGAGGTCACACCAATCTGACACGCAGTGATTACGCCTATTGGTTGTACACGTAAGTTATGCCATCAATATTGAGCTCATCAAGTATCTGGAAAACTCAGCCGTCATTAATGAATGACAATATGGCTTACGATCGCCACCGAATAGCATTTGGAGATTTACTTGCCTACATTACCCATTTATAGCGAACTACATTAGAAAAACATAAAGTTATATCGAAGGCATTCGACCGTGTTTGGCACCAATAAGGACCGCTCCCCAAACTACCATCATGAACGGCTAATCACCTCAGCTATGTCATCGTTAATGGATTTTTCTTTCAGACAGATCGTTCCATGTGGTGGTGGACGGAGTTTCGTCGGATACCATTGCCATCAATCATGGCGTGCCACAAGGATCAATCATGGCGTGCCACAAGGATCAATCATGGCATCAACTTTGTTCCTACTTTATATCAATTATATATTGGACTCTTCACGGCATTCTCTACTAGAATCTTGCTTAATAATGCTTAGTATGACTATCAGCAATAACCTTTCTTGGGAAAATCACGTGGGATCAATTGCTAAAAGTGCATCCCAAAAACTTGGTTTTCTGTTTCGGGCCAGGAGCTATTTCACTTTTAGTCAGCTGCTCCTGGTCTATCCGGCACAGAGCCGACCTGTCCTGAAATATTTGGAGTGCAGCACCCAAACATACCCTGAAACTGTTGGATTCTGTCCAAAAAAATTCAATCCGTCTCGTGGGTGATGCCTCGCTCACAAACTCACTCACTCCTCTGGAACACCGTAGAAAAGTTGGCGATCTGGATCTATTTCATAGATATCTTCATGGACAATGCTCTTCTGAAAAATCTACAATTGTTTCTCCCTTCGCAGTCCCCGAGAAAATAACCTGTCGGGTTGAGGCTTCGCAGGCCTTAGTGGTCACTTTGGAGACCTGCAGAACATTACTTTCCAAAGACCCGTTCATTCAATAAACAGCGGGGCTCTGGAACACATTGCCAAGGATGGGAAGTGTTTCCCAAGGCATATAACCTCCAGAAGTTTTAGGAGAACACCAATTCCTATTTTATATCCCTTCGTTCTCACAATATGTTCTCTGAACATTACAGGATATCCCTTCTCGTGGGAACCAGAACTAAAAAAAAATCTTCCCAGAAAACTGACAACTTGCGAAGAAGGCATGCCAACGTTGCCATTGGAAGTCTTGCGAAAATCATAGCCTGAGGCAGCAACAACCCGGTTGAATTCAGCGCCACCAAAACGCAAGGCTGAATGTCTAGTCTAATTCATTTTTATTCATTTTATGTTCTGTTTTCCACGAAAAGAGATATCTTGTAATGTTCAAAAAACATCGTGAAAACCAAGGGAAATGAGGTAGGAATTGGTGTTCTCCTTGAATTTCTGGAGGTTATATACCAAGACCATGCACTGCATTTATGCTCGGTATCATATACAAAACTGCTTCACAAAAATTTGGTTCCTTATTCCGTGCGAAAATCCACTTCACACCACAACAGCTTCTCATGATCTACAAATCCCGGACATGGCAAGTTTCAAAATACTGTTCTCATGTATGGGGTTCAGCAGCCAAACATACGCTGATGCCATCCAGGGAAGAGCCATTCTTCTAGTTCGTCTTTAAAACACCAGAGCTTTGCAATTCTTCGCCAATGAGAGTAATCCAAAGAACCATAACCTCCAAAAATTCAAAAAAAACATCCAACACTTATAGGTACGCGCTAAGTTCCAGGAACATTATAGGAATTTCCGTTCAAGCGCTTCAAAAGATGAAAAGAAGAATGATGAAGAGATATTTCCATAACGAGCTCAGAGAGCTGTGATATTTTCCGAGCGAGCTCTGTGCACTATTTTTCTACACTCATCAATGTTTCAGTTTTCACGAGTTGGGCATTTATGACATCCCAAGTGCGTTAGATCTCGTTGCCCAAATATCTGGAAAGCCCAAATCTATATACATTGGATATTCCATGGGCACAACAGCGATGTTCGTTTATTCCAGTCTGTATCCTACTGAAGCATCTGAAAGACTGGCTGGAGTGATTGCCATAGCGCCTGTAGCAAATTTGACAGGAATTAGATGTTTCCTTAAATACCTATCACCGTTTTGGCGTCACCCAATCAAAGTAAGGATCATATTCCATTCAGAATATCAATATATTAGTCGGCGTCAATGAGTGAAATCCGTCATTCCGTGAAATGCCTAGTCATTTCAAGTATTGTCGGCAAACAGCGTAACAGCGTAACTTCCATTTTCAGCCGTTACTCTGTTTGCCGGAGGGTTGAGGAAGGAAAATATCCTTCCTGCATAAGAAGGAAGACTATTTTCCGCCTGAATGAACCTTTTTCCTAGACAGTATATTTTTCAGAAAATAACTTGAGAGAACAGAAGAGACTATATTGCTTCTAACGTATGGTCCGAAAGTTTTGGGAAAAAATCAGATGCTGACAACTCTTAGAAATACATTTTTATAATCTTAACAAATAATCTTACAATATTCCTTAACTATTCTTATCACTACCTAAAGTTCAAATAATCGACAAGGGACCGTTGTCTTCGATCTGCCTGAGTTTACCTCTGACGCGTTGCATCATCCTTTGGACGACGACTTTGGCTTGATCAAATGCATTTTGTCAATCAAACCAGGTGAATTTTTGTCCCAAAACTTTCGAACCACACGTAAGACTAAGCTGACCCGGCCTTGCCTTCGTCATTACAGGGGATGCCTGAAACTATTAGGCGAACGGTGTACGAAATTTAGAGTTACGCTGTTTGCCAGCAATACTTGAAATGACTAGGCATTCCAGAGAATGACGGATCTCACTGTTTGACGCCGACATACCGAGTGGTCCATTGAAGACTATCATCCCTTGATATCTCCCAGAATTAGTATTTTACAAACAAATGACGAAACAGGTTGAGTTTCATATGGTGAAGAACACCTCAGATTTTGATTACCATCATAAAAGAGGTCCGTAGAGGACCAATAGAATGGACAGCATGTCTGCCGGACTTGGCACCCAATGATTTTGTTCTATGGGGTCATTTGAAATTGGTCATTCATAAAACGGAACCTACTGACCTCGACGATTTGGAGAGAAGAATGAGAACCAAATGCCAGGCAATATCAAGAGAAACATTCTCAAACGTACAAGAGGAATTTTCAAATATACTCTACCACTGTCTAGGAGTCAATGGAGGTCATTTTGAACATCTTTTGTGAATACCTTTTCATTAATCTATTATTTACATTCATTTACTCACAATAAGAAAACATTCCATTCGAACTCGAATACCTCGAGAACGACTTGTTGGAGTTTGAAGAACTTTCCACTGTTAGTTTCAGAATTGAATTACCTTCGCAATGATGTATAACACGACCCTTGTTCCCTATTCAGATCATTGAGGGGGTTGCTCTGGGGAGTAGAGGGTTGAAGTATGGATTAATTATTTCGCGTCAACCCTAATAACACACTTATGTCCCATGGATATCCTTTGGACGCCCTGTCGGGACATTCAGGACGTCCATAGGACGTTCGAATTTGGTACCGTGGACGTCATTGGACGTCTGTGGGACGCACAAATGTTTCACTTGAGGACCAACTTGAGACGTCCTTGAGGGATGTCCCTGGGACAACTATCGAATACCTAAATCCTACAGTATTCCTCATCAAGCACTTCAGAGGACATGCTTAGGAAATCCATTGGACAACCTATCAGCAACGCTGAGGAATATCAATTGGATGTCCATTGGATGGCCCAGGGACGTACGAATTATTCTTTAATTTGAATTTTTTTGGGTTCCTCTGGGATCAGATCTTGCATAACTGAATAGAACATCCAGTTGAGTTGATGTTCCGTGAAAGGTTCCCAAAATGTTTTCCAAGAATGTCTAATGGACTTACGTGAAGGACATTGACGAGGAGTACTTATAGCCTAGGAGCAATCATTCGTCGGCGAGGTGTAAGTTAACGTCCTCGCAGGGACAACATATTGAAAGTACCGACTGGTACGTCCATAGGACGTTATTTCTAGGACATTGGAAGAGTACAGTTCATGTACCAATTGGGACATCCGACGAATATCCATAAAGGACATTCGAAGGATGTCCCTAAGGGACATTCCGATTTTTATACGCTATTGGAAATATTAAGGGCGTCTGTGCAGAGATATTTGAAGCAATGTATCATCAGGGACATTTCATGGTTGTCTAGAAACGACATCATATAAGATCTTGAGTCATGCCAGAATATGTATTACTCGGGACATCCGATGGATATCCCTAAAGGAACGTTTAAAATCATATCCCATCAGGGACATGCCAAGGACGTCCTTGCATGGACATTCTACAATATGTATCGACCGGTTTCGTCATTTTTTTGTAAAATAATAATTCTGGGAGATATCGAGGGTGGATAGTCTTAAATGGACCACCAGGTATACATTTGGCTTTGTATTTTGCAGCCTATTGCGAAGCTGCTTTTCAATGGAATATTCGTACCCAAAGTCGATATAATCTATAGATTTTGTGCAAATGGACCCATCACTATGTTTTTCTGTTATGCCTTCATAAGTTTAGTTACTGGACCGAACTTCAAAGACTTGGACCCTGTGAGTAACAAAAAAATCATCGTATAACTCACCTGCATCATTCTACTCATCACTGAGTGGTATCATAATTTGAATATTGATCCAGATGTGCGAATTCAAAGTGGTAACATGTCGGGATATAGCTCTTTTCCTACCAAGTGCGCAAAGTTATACTTTTCTGCACGTAAAAACAGTTGGGCAAACGACGCGGAAAAGGCATTATACATAACATATTAGGAACATCAATGTTCGTTCGAGCTTCATATGATATTAACAACAAAAATGGAAGAAGCATCGGCCAACCCAAAGATAGTAACGACTTTTAGAAGGTTCCGATCAATTAACCCTTCCATAAATCTGGAAACTTCATTATTGTAAAAATTCTCACCCCTTTCGGTGTTAGCTTTTATTTTTATCGCTTGGAGCGCACGAAAGGGAATCCCTATAATGTTCGAAGAACATCGTGCGTTCCTAGGTAGGTATATCTACTCCGTAAAGTATTTGTTTCTGTAAATCTTGATACTATTTGTCCCTTTGTTGTGGCACCATATTCAAATTATACAGGATGTTCCTTGATGATATGCTATTATTCAAGGGGCCGATTAATCGACCTATTTCAAGCATCAAACTTCATATGAACGTATCTCGTTAACGTCCTAAGTTTTCAGATACAGGGTGTTAATGTTGTAAATATGCATAAATTCTTTTTTGTCCACCCTGTATCTTCCCGTGATGGCAAAATTCAGTCTGCTATGTGACTGAATCGGTATGGAAATTTTGAAATGTTGAATACTGTGGTTATCCAGTAAGGATGTCCAGAACGGAGTTCTCGGACATCGAAATTTGAAGTCTGGTTTCGTTTATCCGATTTTTTTTCTGAAACGGAACGTTCTATCGTCAATTTTATAAGTGGTGCAATAGTAATGGTTTGTGTGTGAATATAAAAAAAACCAATTTCATTTCTTTCATTCCAAGAAACATCAATAATGATTTCTGCTCTTTAATAAGGATCAATGGCAAAAGCATTGAACAGGTTACGGCAACCAAATTCTTAGGGGTCAGTCTTGATCACAAAATGAGCTGGGAGAACCATATCAACATATTGAATAATAAAATGAGTAGAAACTGTTTTGTAATACGGCAACTAAAAAACACAGTATCTCTTGATATATTACTGTTGGTCCACTATGGTCTGGTGCAGTCGAATATATCCTATGGTTTGATTTTTTGGGGGAACTCAAGTCACATTGACAAAATATTTATGATGCAAAAAAAAATCATCAGGTGTATCAAAGGTGTCAATCAGAGAACATCAAGCAAACAAATTTTTATTGATTTATCTATTTTAACAGTACCATCATTGTATATATTTCTCACAATTTTAAATGTTAAAAACCAACTGGGAACATTTGTTCGAAACAGTTCTCAGCATAATTACAATACTCGAGGAGCAAACAACTTGTATCAACCATTCTCAAGACTTACCATTGGTCAAAATTCTCATTTGTATAAAGGTATTTCACTTTATAACCATTTTGAAAAGAAGTTCGGTAATGAACAACATTTTAATGATTTTAAATACTTCAAATCTCTCTTGCACAGGTTTTTGGTAAGACATGCATTTTATTCTGTAGAAGAATTTTTTCAGTGTTAAACGGTTTTATCTATTATACATGGATTTTAATTCGGTGTTCAATGTAATCTGAATGTAACAATAACAGTTTTCTATTTTTTGAGTCTATATTATAGTTATAGAACCATTTCTCATGACTAGTCTAATAAAGTAGGTACCTGTATGAACAGATATTTGTTTAACATGTTTTGTACCACTTTTAACATTGTACGAAATTTTGAAATTTTTCGTCATTCCTCACTTTTAAGTAAAATATAAACAATACTATTCCCGTGAAAGTACCACTGGTAGAGAAAATGAGAAGTTTTGTACATCAGAAAATGCACCTCGATACATAAAATACGTGTACCAAATTTCATGAAGATGAATACAATATAGTCTTAGTTATTTTGGAAAAACTGAATATTTTTCAAAACTTCAATTACTATTCACTTAATTCAAATTCTTTATACGAGTGAGATTTTCGAGTACACTGTAGAAAATTCCTCTGAGTGAATGCATATGTGCTTGTGAGTGAATCTACTGGTTGAAATATTTGAGTGAATTCTCAACTAAAACTAGATATTTCATCAAGTTCTCATATCAATGAGAATGTTTATAACAAATTCGATTGAATCGGTTCATGAATTACCATTTTACACAGTCAAGTAGGGTGAAATTTCAACTCAATCGGGCGTGGACCGAAATTGACTCATTATTGCGTGGACCTTGAGTGAAATTTCACTCAATTTTTTTTTCAGTGTAGTTTCACTGTTTTGCACTTGGTGCGGATGAAAATTTCATCAACACGGCGTGCGGAAAAGTGTTACTTCGCGCACGCAAATCTGTGCAGAAAGGTAGATCTTTGCGCACGCTCGAATGAAATACAGGGTGAGTCATAAGGAACTGTACATACTCCTACCACGAATAGTGTCCCTTGAGGGGGATAGCTAATGACCATCAAAAAGTGTCTTCTTCTCTCCTTCACCAATATATAGGGTGAATTATGAGATTTGGCTAATACATATTTTGTCAAAAACGGAAGAATCCAGGAAAGTCCTTGAAAATTTTTGATAGTTCAGTTTTTATCAAGAAGTTCATCCTGTATATGGTTTTTGTGAACTGTGACAGGGAATTTTTAAAGCACACAAACGAGCATCAAAAATAAAATATTCAAAATTCTCCTCACACTTCCACAGAATCGTTCAAAGAACGATAAATTATGTGCAGAAACGAATGTTTGGCAACAAATTCATTCATTCGGAAATAATCACTCTGCATCGCATAAATTTCACAAATAAAAGTAAGACTCACATTTTGAATGCTTCAGCCCAATAGAAATCAACATGTTCTTTCATTTCCACGCCTGGACTTCGTCATTTAATTTTCTGTGGAGGGTATAATAATCACCCTGTAGATCTTTTACAAATCAGTGGATGGGGTATCTGTTCAGATGTTCATCGATTCAAATAATTCAATATAGCCGAACAGAAAATGAAGGATTATCCACAATTATTTTTCAAAAGCTATACTGACAAAGGCGGATAATAACTCTAGTACGGCCCCTCAGGGGCTCACGACTTGTGAGTACGGGAATGGCAATCCCGAGGTACCCTAGCCGGATACTCATTAATCTTCAACTTGTCTTTGATGGTATCCTCTTCACTCTTCAGTTTCCAATCTTTTTCTTCATCGGCCCCCCTTGGTCACTTCTCCTCTTTTCCTTCTCCCCTAAAGCCCAACCTCACCATAGTGCGGGGAGTACAAGCCGCGGCTGCCCGGCAGATTGAGCATTTTGGGAACATCTTTGCTATCATCACTCAGATGGGACAGTTTTGTGGACATCTGAGTGCGAGGATGGGGCAATTTGTGAACATCTGCTTATGTGGCCGCGGATTGATAACGAGGCTCTGGCGATCCCCTCAGGGGCTCACAACTTGTGAGTACGGGAATGGTGAACCCGAGGTACCCTAGCCGGATATTCACCATACTTCAACTTGTCTTGGGTGATATCCTCTTCTCTCTTCCGTTTTCAATCTTTCTATCGGCCTTTCTTGGCCAACTTCTCTTTTCCTCTTCCCCTTCAAGCCCAACCTCACCATCAAGTGGTGTGGGGAAGGCAGGCCGCGGCCGCTTGGCGGATGAAGCATTTTGGGACCATCTTTGCTATCTTCTGCCAGATGGGACAATTTGTGGACATCTGTGGCAGGGATGGGGCGATTTGCTGATGTTTGTCTAGGTGGTCGAGGTCTGGTCAACGAGGCTCTGGCAACCTAATCCAAGCTGTGGGAACCCGTGGCGATGGATGGATGGCACCGAGGAATGGTGTCGCTAACGGGGCCTCTGGGAAACAGGGCGACATCCCAGAGTAAACAGCCTCAGCCCTGTGCAGGGGGCACCACAGGGCTGGACCAACCCCTTCCCCCGTCACTCGTAGGAGAAGGAAAACTTTTGGCCTTCTTCGTAGACGAGAACAGGGATCGGAAGAGCAATCTTCAGGAACTTGAACGAAAAGGGTCTTTCATATTGAAGTTTCCCTTAATAGGCACCATGAGTCGTATGTGGTAAAATTGATAACGGCATGTAGGTGAGATACAATGGGCCACTAGGCCTAAGTGTCGTCGAAGCCTACAACGGGGTGGAGTGTTTAGTGGGTATACCATGGAGGGGACTCCCACACTATCATATGGGGGATTGGACCCATATGATGTCTATAAAAGATTTCAACCACCTCGGCGAAAGAAAAAAAAAAAAAAACTCTAGTACGGAGAATAAGTGACCAAATTAACTGAATAAAACTGTGGTTTGAAATCATGAAATTATTCAAAGAGATGACTATCAACGTATCCACAGATACTATCCTCCACAAAAAACTGAATTACTAAATCCAGGCCCCACCGAGAGGAATATCTATTAGCTGTTATACGAAATTGTATAACCATTAAAAGATTTCTGAATTGAATAGGCGCCAGCATAGTTCCCATTTCACTGTAATCACGTTCATCATTTCAAAAAAATCATATAACTGTGAAATATCACTTATATATGAGAATGGAATGACACTCATATAGGGGTCAAATGACTAGCATTTCAATGCTATACGATGATATTATAAAAATGAGAAGATACTCATATAAATTTGACTTGTTTTCAATTTGATAGTCAAATGAAAAGCATTTCAATATTGAATAGTGATATTATAAAAATGGAATAATACTCATATCAATATAATTAATTTCATGCACAAATGATTGCATGATATTTCAGTTTTAGGATGATTAATTTTTCTCTAGAAAAATGAAGCGGGTTGAAACTCTTCGAGAAATATTGAAGACATATATACTTGGTTTATATACTTACCCCCAAGTAAAGTTTTTTTGAGGAACTACAGGGCATTGAAGTGCATCACAAGGACGATATACTCAGTTTACAATATCTCAGTTTGTGTAGGACAAAAATGCTTCCAATTTGGACTATTTGTTCTCATTGTCAGTGCATTGGATTATTAGTTAACATAGTGGCCAAAAATGTAATTACACAGTATCGTCAGTAAATTAGAGTTCACATTCGCAAATTTCGTTTCATTTCATTTACCGTTATTGCCACTTGAGCTTTACAAAAGAGCGTTGAGAGACTTTTCTTCCGACGTTTTCGAGATCCCCATGATGGTAATCATTAATCTTGGACACAATGTATACGCAATACAATCTATCACCTATGAATAAAACTGTTTAAATCCAAGCTTTTGCCACTTAGTGAATAGTGAGGTGAGTTAAAAAAATTGAAGTTTTTTCAATTTGGAAGACATTCCGATACATACACTTACCGATATATTTTTTTTTCGCTTGGAGCGCACGAAAGGGAATTCCTATAATGTTCAATGAACATCGTGCGTTCCTAGAGAGGATAGAGACAGGAGGTAGGTATTGGAAAACACTATAACGCCCAGAGGCAACATTCTGTAGTTTCTCAACAAATCTTGGGGGATATATGAACAAATTTGTCCCTAATATTTCTAGAAGATCTCTCAACCACTTCACTTTTTCGAAAAAAAAAAATATCACTCTGCAAGAAGAGTTCAAAAGCTGCCGCGAGCTAATATGTCCTTTCATATCAGGAATCCGAAGACGACTAACGATTCTCATCGAACCAGTGTTCATAGGTGAGAGAGATGACTCATTGAGGTGAACGAGTATGACAAAGATGGAGAATGATAGAAGGGATGAAATAAAATGCTCATCGTAAAACTGTGAAATGATATCTTTCAGGATTTGAATGATTATCTTCAAATTTCCATCTACTAACTATAATCTTGTCCAATTTCGAATCTAAAAGATAACCTTCTTGAAACAAAAAGAGTGATTCGAAAGGGTGACCTGTTTCACGTTGAAAACGTGAACTTTTCACGTTCATCAGATTAGATGACATTTCGTGGTTGAAATGTTTCATTTGGCGGTTATAAGAAGTTTTCAAATAGAGACATGTATAACTGGACTTTTCTCGGTGCCAAAAATAAAATAATTTGTCGATTTTTATCGAGCTGAAGCATTGAAATTGTTAGTCTCACTTTCATTCGTGAAATTTATGGGTTGCGAAGTATAAATTTTCAAATAAATTAATTTTTCAACCAAATTTTCGTTTTTTCATAAAATTTATAGTTTTTTTCAAACTGCAATGTAAGTGGGAGCAAAATTTGGAATATTCAATTTCTGATATTTGTTTGTGACCTTCAAAAATTCCCTGACACAGTTTACAAAAACGATATACAGGATGAACTTTTTGCTATAAACTTTAATTATCAAAATTTTTCAAGAACAGTCCTGGATTAATTCGATCCTGAATAAGTCACTCGTTTAGAGAGTAGAAGAGGAATATTCCATGAAAAAATCAGACGAATCGGAGGGGCTGTTGGAAAGTTATGACCAGAAGATGTTTTTGCCAAATCTCATGATTCACCCTATATATTGGAGAAGAAGTGAAGGAGACACTTTCTGATGTACATTAGGTATTCACTTCAGGGGCCTCTATTGGTGGTAGGAGTATGTACAGTTCTTCATGACTCACCCTGTATATAAACCATATTATGGTAAATAAATTTTTTCAGCTTTATAGACCAGTAGCGGATATAAACATCCCAGAAGACATCGCTGCAAATGTAATCGATCACTACCAGCAATGTTACGAACGAAAAAGGTTCTTACAATACGATCATGGTGTACAGGAGAACCTGAGGCGGTATGGGAATGAAATACCTCCAGACTATCCCATTGAGGACATCCGTACTCCAATATCATTTTTCGTCTCAGACAATGACTGGATTGCAGAAGAGCATGTGAGAGAACTCGTATCACTCAACAACAATGAACTGAATATAAACAACTAAAAAGGTTCCTCTGAGAACGACGAGTGAGGCAAAAATATTTTTTAGGTAACCCGCAGTGTTTACGGATACCTTTCTCTCTCTATCTTATTTTCGCGTTTACGGATACCTTTCTCTCTCTATCTTATTTTTGCTAATGGGAAGTGCTCGCAATATTCGAGATATTTTCTCGTTTTTTTGCTTTCATTTAGGAGTAAACGTGAATAAATAAAAATATTCATATAGGATAAAGGAAAATGTTGCAATCAATTATCATTGAAAAATTATTATTGATTTTTTTATTGACTCAAAAATGAAATTTCATTTTTATTCTCACAGGATTAGGAAGTCAAATGAATACAAAATTGAAATTATTGTATTTTCATTCAAATGTCACAATACATTGTACAGGGTGAGCGGAGCACAATGTCTTAGCATTATCAGAAAAAAAGGAGAAACGATAGGAAAAATTTGAGAAGAGGTTCTTGAATGGTATTGACTACCTAGAGTCCATTTTGAGCATAATAATTTCCATAGCTTCCTATTTTACCATTAGGTCACTGCCTACAAACATATCCCTAATAGGAGTTTAAAAAATACAATTCTTAATACAATATCCTTCTCCGAAGGAACAGTTTGGGTTTTTTCATTGATGAACTCCAAAACTTGGGAGCTGGAAGTCATAGGTGAAGTCCATGATATGAGAAACATCTTCCTTAGGACCCAATGTTATAAACTTCCACAGATGCATCCTGAAAATAAATTACTAGCTAGTCTTTTATTTCAAAGAGGTGCAAACATACCTTTTTTACAGTATTAATCAACTAGGTACCTATGAGTTCTCCTATTTTCCTTCAAGGATCAGTATTTTTTGGTAACAAATGCTTAGGAAATGGCTGGGTACATCAGCATCTGATTTCAATAACCTAGCAGTACGTGGTATGTCTAACTAAATAATCAGTTGGCAGGAAATGCTCTCCACAAAACTTGCTGGTTTCAGATGGAGTCCAACTCTCTCTACGAACTGCCTTAATCCATAATTCAAGAATGTCAAAATGGAAAACTGCAACAAATAATATAACTCAATAATATCAACATATTATGTTTATGGAAAAGTCAAGGAAGTATTTAACTTTGACAAATAATAAAGGTATAGTTTTTGATCATAGGTATTTTGAGACTGGGGACATTGTAATCCTAACTGATGATCATTTCAAGAACTATATTTTCCAAAAATTTGAACAATATTCAACTTACCCATAGAATGACAATTTCCTTTTGTCTTGCTCGTTCTGGCATCCAAAGGCGACACAATAAATCACCATTTTTCATCAAAACCTTCTCAACAATCAGTTCACAGTGTTGACACCAACGAATTCAGTCCTTTGTATAAAACAAAACTAGCCAAATGAATAGATATTTCACATAAACGAAGATAATGAACTTATGTCTTCACTTTCTTGCCTGTTTAGATGAGAGAAAAAAATCTAAAGTACTTCAATTATTAGATAAAAGGAAACGTAAACACCGATCCACCATCAAACAACACGAGTAGGAATGAGACAGGTTACCGTAAATCATGATATCTTTGTTTCAGCTGCCCCTGACACAATTTGTGCTATTCGAGAAAACGGCCGTCTCCCTTCCAGTTGTTCATATTTAGTTCATTGTTCAACAATGCTATTCTATACACTAACCTAATGATTTTTTTCTACTTTCAGAATGCCTTGCAAACATACAATCAGATTTCATCAGAGTATCAATGTGGATACGACGTTTCTTCAAATAAGGATTTCGGTCATGGAGACGTCATGACCTCTCGTTATGTTTTCAGAGACTTAAATCAGGCAGTGCTATCAAAAGTGCAACAAATGGAATCAAGTTTGTGTTAAAAAAATGATTTGTTGATTCATCAATCAGAATTTTCTTCGAGAATAGTTATAAATGTGGAGAATAATTGTACTAGCTGCTTACACGTAACTGGTCAATATAAAATGAAGAGTTTTTGTTTTTCCTGTAGGATTTATAATGAAATCACAAAGCGATTTCGGCTAAAAGGCCGTCATCAGTGCTATACCTGGATGTTACTTACTTGCAGATATAGCACTGATGATAGCTTTTTAGCCGAAACCACTTTGCGTTCTTGTAATAAAATTTACACGAAATAAAAAACCCTGCAGCGGACGAAAAGTGTTCGCGGACATAAGTTTAGTGTCTGCGGACAAGAAGAACTCGGCTTCGGAATCAGTCGGTTTTTCCTTCGGAAATTAGAACGTAAAATGTGATTTTTCGTATAGGTCGACAAAAAAATATTTTTTTATTCAGTTCAACGTCTTATATCCTTGAAGAAATACCAAATAATAAATCATTCTCATAACTGTTCTTCCATTTTTCTTGATTCCTCCCCATTCCCCGATGACCACTGACTTCCATACAAGTAGGGAACTTCCCAAAACTAGAGTTGTGCTGACGTAGCTTCAAGTGCAATATTTTGCATGCACCAAGAAAAATTCAGTTATACAAGTCTTCATTCAAAAACATCCCATGACTGCTAAATGAAATATTTCAACCACGATGTCATGTGATGAAAGTGAAAAGTCAACGTTTTCAACGTGAAACAGATAACCTCTTCAAATCACTTTTTCAGTATCAAGAAGGTTACCTTATAGATTTGAAATGGAACAAGATTACAGTTAAATGATGGAATTTGAGAGATAATCATTCAAATCCTGTAAGATCTCATTTAAAAGTTATACAAGTATCAGTTAAGTTCCATCTCCTCATCATTTACCATCTTTGTCATACTCGTTTACGACAATTAGTCATCCTACTCACTTGTGAACACTTGTTGCATCAGAATCATTAGTCGTTCACGGATACCTGATATGTAATGACATATTAGTCCGCAGCAGCTCGTAAACCCTTCTTAAATAAGGATAATTTTTTTTTTCGAAAAAGTGAAGTGGTTGGAAGTTCTTCTGAAAATTTCAGGGACATATTTTTTTATATACCTCACAAATATAGGATTTGTTGAGGAACTATAGGAAGTTGAAATGCATCAGGGCGTTATAGTGTTTTCACTATAAATGCATCGGAAATACTTTCAATTTGGATAAAACTTACTATTTTCGAACTACCTCACTATACACTGTAGTGGCAAATTATGAGATTCACACAGTTATATCGATGGTAGATTGTATTGCGTGTACAGTATGTCCAAGATAAGGATGTCTTCGTATCCTTATCTATGCTATGCAAGACGTGTCATCGTTAGATTCGTTACTAAACGATCAGACTGTCAAGTCTCGAAACAGTATCAAGTTTCATTCCACGGAGAGTTCGAACAGAGGTTCTCCCACCATCGATTTCATGTCGATGAAAGATGACATGATGATGAAAAAAAAACGGCTCACGTGAATATTCCATCGAAACATTCTACGGAAAAAATGAGGAATATAATCATATTCTTGGTAGTTCTATCGATTTTCTGACTCCTATATCGTTGAATATTCTGGTGTCTTTTAGATTTTCGAATGAACAAATAGTTTTCTTCAGATAAAAAAAATCGTACAATCAATATAAGTAAGTGTTTCGTTTGAAGGCACACACATTTTTGAAATTATGTATGAATGATTGAATGAAATTCAAGGAATATAGAAACTCAAAATATAATTATAGTGTGTCAGAGCTTTCATGCCAGAATATATCTGCGTTAACTGATATTAAAAAAAATAATTAAAAAATGTGGAGTGGGTGCGAAAACCCTACGAAATAATATGATTGAATCCTCTTTGTGTCCAACAATCTGCTAGATTTCAGGATTGAGTCAATATGATCATTAAATCATATGGATTGATCAAATATAACGCCAAGATCTTCGAATTTTATAATAATAATAATAATAATAATAATAAAAGTTCACGTCAATAACATTACTAATGTCGTTAATGAAAATGTTGAAAAGAAGTGGCCCCAGATTGGAGCCTTGTGGTATGCAAGACGTTGCAAGATATTCGATGGACTTGTAGCCGTTCAACTGGACATATTGTTTACGATTAGTGAGGTATGATCTGAATAGGTTCACTAGAGAGATATATAAGCCAATGCTATCAGTTTGTTTATTAAAATTCCGTAGTCAAGTCTGTCGAAGGCTTTGGAGAAGTCGGTGTAGATGACGTCTGTTTGCGCACGATCATCAATATTCTCAGAAATGTATTGAGTAACTGTCATCAGATTTGTAACCGTTGACTGACCTCTCATAAAACCATGAGATGAGTTGACAACAAATGGCATTTGCTGTTGTCAAATTAATTATTCACGAAATCCAATAGATTTCACGTGTGATGTGAGTATGAGGGGGAAGTGTATAATCTCTGATATAAGTGTTTGAGGTCAACGAAAAAATTTAATATGCACCTTGGCAAAGGCTTGATTGCTAGCCTCGGCTAGGGCATCGGCTATCAATTTGCAGACTCGACTGTGATGGACAGCTTTTCGTCCTTGGTACAAAAATGATCATTTTCGAAACATATTCAACATTCCGTATCTCGCAAACGAATTCTTCTCGGATCCATATACATATCAACTTTTTCCCATGTTCTGCTGACAACTCCCGGACACTCTGTATTTATCTTGATCCATGTTTTTGAACATAATTAACAAAGTACATCATCCATAGAGTCTTCGTACCTGTTTTTCTGTGATAGTTCTAACTGGCGTGAGATGATTAAAAAGTAATTTGATAAGTGTTATTTTTGTAATTATTTTTGCCGAATATGAAATACATTCACAATACCTGGACTAAGCTGCAGACCAATTGAAATGAATATCTGTGTCGCCCAGAATGTACACCTTCATTCTTGCCTTTCTGGAGGAGAAGAAGCTCCAAAGGCAAACCTGAAAAGACAATATGATGTAACTTGAACTTGTAGTTTCAACCTTCAAAATGTTTTTCAGGACCTCATCAAGATTGTCATTTTCCTTTTCACTTTTGGTTTCAGTGTTTTCACTTTTCTTTGCAATAGAACAGCCTTTCTCGAATGAAACAGTTTGAGTGTTTCATTATCAATAAACTTCGAAACTTGGGAGCTAGAAGTTGTAGAGACAAATCAATGTGCATATGAAAAACATCGTCCTTAGAATTCAAGTTATGAACATCCACACACACATCCACAGACACATCTCGAAAATATATTACTACAGTTTTTCTAAGAATCGATCTGGACAATTTTCAACTTACCCATGAAGGACAATTTATGTTTGTCTTGATTGTTTTACATCCAGAGGCAACACGATATAAATAACCATTGTTCGTTAATTCGAAATCACAAACCTTTCCAACAACAATCAATTCACAACAGCAAATTCAGTCCTTCCGAAGAAACAAAACATGCCAAATTAAGCGATATTCCACGTGTATTCCACTTCTCAGGTTATAGCTGTATAAAAATACTATTTCTGCAATTTCGAAACGGAGTGGAAAACCAACAGATTTTCTCTCTTCTACAATGTTTTGGTTCCCACGAAGAGGGATATCCTGTAATGTTCAGAGAATATCTATCCTTACAGAAGTCAGTTCTGTACACTCAAATGAATAATGCTGTGAAAGTATAAAAAAGTTCTGTATCATTGAAATCATTATTCCGGCAATCCTATGGAATGTAATCTTGTAGCATTGAAAGCATTGGAGGAAATGAAAAATTGCCAAAACCTCTTCCTGCATTTTCTATAAGAGAATCATTTCTCCCAGGCGTCTTGGAGTTTTTTTGCGAATAGTTAGTATGATTTTCCGCCAATATTCAGTATGATTTTCCAAGCAGCAATTTCAACCTGAAACAAAATGAAATTAGTTTAAAACAATATCAAATAGGTATTACATTTATCAATACTTGGTTCATCTGAAAGATATAAAATATCATCCTCGATTGATGATATTATGGAGCTTTTTATCGATATATGTATAACTACTTAAGGATGTATAGTTACTTACCAATAATTAAATGTAAAAACTTCACAAACGATAAGATTTCCACAAAATTTTCAAACACACGACGTGTTTCGCTAACACAGTAGCTTCGTCAGGTGATATACTGGTACAATGAACTAAACTAACGTTGGCTTGCTTAACTTTTGTATATCTTACTTTCCCAACCTGAAGGATTAGTTACCTATGGACAGGTACGATAAACCTCCATTTTCGATAACGGTATGCCGGATTAACTTGAAAGAGTTGATATCAAATACATATTATTACATACTAATTCTTACTGATTTGAAAATATTTTCAATGAAGATCTGTTTAACTGAAAATTGGTATCCATGCCAATTGGGTACTAGTTTAGTTTCGGTGAGATTATAAAGTGATAAATTTCATTTAAAACCACAACATTTCAATACCTCACAGCACATACGGCTGGCTCAACAGCTCTATAGAATAGGATAATTATTGTATTCATGTCTCGCTTTGCTAGTTTACTTTTGTTGATCATTTACTTATCGTATGTCCTTGCGATAAAAACCTGTGAAACATTCAGTGACTATTACAAAATTGCCAGTGATAAATGCTTCGACAATCCTGATGCAGGAGCACCACCTGTAAGTACTTTGAAAACACATCAGCAATATGTTCTTTGAATCTTGTGCCCTTGCCTCCATGAAACTGTCCTATGGATGACACAGGGCATAGGGCTACTCCTTCAACTTGAGCATTTGTCAAGTGATTTTTCGGATATTTCGTACATCTATATATGCAAACATATTGGATTGGATCATATTATAGTAGGAGAGCCGACTGCAGATTTATTTCGTCATCTGATAACGAAATGATAATATGTCCCAAATGAACATAAAAACATTGTAGTTCATCGAACGGCACCTGTACCAATCAATATCTTGAGCAAAATGATTGAACAATTGCACTTGCCTGACAAAGAAATTTGCACTCGATTCCACAACTTGATAGGATAGGGACAGGAGGTAGGTGTTGGAATTTTTTTCTGAATTTTTAGAGGTTATAAGTTCTTGAAAATACATCCATTGGCAATTAATTTCAGAGCTCCGTCGTTCTGTAGACGAACGAGTTAACGAAAATGAGAACCTTTTATTTCTCCTGAAGAATTATTGGCCAGAATTCTTGTGAATTTTGAAGGAACAAATAAAATTTTACGAATTGAATCAATACATATACATACCGAACCGTGTCCATAAGATGAGAATACAAAGACATCCTCATCTTGGACATACTGGTGTAAATTCAACCTCCTGCCACTGAAGTGAATAGTTAGGTTGTTCAAATATTCAAAATGTTATCCGAATTGGAAGAATTTTCGATACATTACCGATTTATCGGTGAAAACACTATAACACTCTGATGCAGTTCAACTCCCTGTAGTTTCTCAACAAACCCTAGGTATATAAACAAATATGTACCCAAAATTCCTAGGATTTCAACCACTTCATTTTTCGAAAAATTAATCATATCATATCAGTTATCCGTAGACGACTAACGATTCTGATGAAACAAGTGTTCATGAGTGAGTGAGATGACTCATTGTTGTGAACGAGTATGACAAAAATTTTAAGTGAAGGAGGGATGGAGCTTAAATGATACTCGTATAACTGTGAGATGACATATTCTAGGATTCGAATGATTATCTTTCAAATTATATCTCTCAACTATAATCTTGTTCCATTCCAAATCTATGAGGTAACCTTTACAAAACAAAAAGAGTGTTTTGAAAATGTGACCTGTTTCACGTTGAGAACGTTGGCTTTCAAAGTATAAAATGTTTCATTCAGCAGTTATAGAATGTTTTTGGAAGAAGACTCCTATAACTGGATTTTTCTCGGTGTCTCGAACTTGAATATGTGAAATATACAGGGTGTTTCATTCGAAGAAAATCATTCTTAGAGAAACCGGAAGTCAGTAATATTGGATTGTGATGAGATCGAATCTGAAATGGTTAGTATCGACTTTCAGAAAAATCTGTTGACGAATGCAGAAGTTACAGAGATGGCCCCAATTCTATGCTCCCACCAGGTTAAATTTCCTCATTTTTCTCTTGCAGCTCGAGATCTTGAGGAGGTGGGGCTGTCATGCTGCTGAATACAATGTAACCACTAAGGATGGCTACCAAATTTCGATTATTAGGGCTTGGCCCACACATATCACTCAGCCCATTCCCATTGTGATGGGCCATGGTATATACATGAACAGCTTGGGATTCATCAGTATGTTCAATAAAACAATCGGTTAGTATCAATAATATGACAGATGAGTTGCACATTAAACAACGTTGAATAATTTTTCGAACATGCCCGCTCGAATTTTCAGAACTGTGCGCGCTGTACAACGATGCGTTACACATAACCTCAAATAATCAATTAGGAAAATGTTTGGAATTTGAATAATTATGGGTGTGTCATTGAATATTATTACAATCATTTCCAGAATCGAGTCTTCGGATGGAAGCGATGATGAAAATATGATGATTGATATACAGAAGTACTTTGTACTATTGTTATGAAACAGTGTTCACAGGAGATTCAAAATCACCTGAAAGTCAAATAAAGCTTTCGAGATGATCTGAATTCAGTAATGATGAAGAATACTGACTTCGTGAACGAAACTCCATTGCACTAAATCACTATTGTCAACATTTAATAAAACAATGCAACAATCATGAGACTGTTTCTGGCAGTGTTCACAGAGCAACCACAGGAGATGGATGAATCCATCTCATAGGTTGAGATCCATGGGAAAAACAACCTCCAAACATAACGCCAATTGACAGTCATATACACGAGATTACCTTTCGCCAACGTACTATGAGGAAGATTTTATTGGATCTCAACACCAAGAAAGCTTGTAGCTCCGACGGAATCCCACCGATTGTCCTCAAGAAATGTGCCCCCGAACTAAAACCTGTTCTCTTCAAAATGTTCAATTACTCTTGGGAATTGGGGATATTGCCGTCCAACTAGAAAATTGCAAGAGTACAACCAATTCTTAAAAACGACAAGAAGACCCTACCTAGCAACTACAGACCGATCGCACTGCTATTTATCATTCCAAAGATCATGGAGAAAGCTATCAACATCGAGCTCATGAAATACCTGGAACGTTGAGGTATAATCAACGATAGGTTTCCGTCATCAGAGATCAACTGGGCTTACGTCTCACATATATGGCAGAAATCTATCGAAAAATATGGTGAAACCTTAGCCGTAGCACTTGATATCTCCAAGGCATTCGATCGAGTCTGGCATCACGGACTCCTCGCCAAGCTAGCCTGGCAAATCAGAAGCGAACGAGGGAGGAATGTTGGCAACATAAATATGGACTTGGCAACAATTCTCGAATGGGGATCCAATAACTTTCAATGCAAACAAAACACAAGCATGCCTTTTCTCTAGATAAGCCGATCTCACTGTGCCCAACATAAGTTCGCCAGGAGTGACCATACCTTCGAAGACATCCATTTCGATGCTTGGTATAACTATCAGCAATAACCTTTTCTGGGAAAATCAATTGTTAAAAGTGCATCCCAAAAACTTGCTTTTCTCTTTCGGGCCAGGAGCTTTTCCACTTTCAGTCAGCTGCTTATGATCTATAAGGCACAGATCCAACCTGTCCTGGAAAACTGTTACCATATTTGAAGTGCAGCACCCAAACATAACCTGAAACTGCTGGATTCTATCCAAAAAAAGGGCAATTCGTCTCGTGGATGATGTCTCGCTCACAAACTCACTCACTTCTCTGGAACACCGTAGAAAAGTTAGCGATCTGGCTCTTTTTCTTAGATATTGCCATGGACGATGCTCTCTTGAAAAATCAACAATTGTTCCTGCCTTGGCAGTCCCCGCGAGATTAACCCGTCGAGTTGAGGCTTCGCACCCCTTTGGTCACTTTAAAGACCTGCAGAACATCTCTTTTCAAAAACTCGTTCAATCAACGAACAGCGAGGCTCTGGAACACATTGACAAGGGATGTGTTCTTCGAGGCATATAACCTCCAGAAATTTAAGAAGAACACCAATTCCTACCTCATTTCCCTTGGTTCTCACGATGATCTCTGAACATCACAGGATATCCCTTTTCGTGGGAACCAGAACATAAAAAAAAATAATTCGTATAGACGAATGAAATCGCTATCGTTTCCTCTCTAAGCATTTTGTCATTTTCTTAGTTGAAATATCTTATGTTTCAACTCCTATTGCAAGAGTTTTAATTCTATACAACGAAATGCAACGTACCTTTTGTTTCCAGCATATAATCTTATCCAAGAAGGCTATGATGTTTACCTCATCAACTTCCGGGGAACATTGTTCAGCACAGGTCACACCAATATGACCCAAAGTGATTACGATTATTGGATGTACAGGTGAGATATTTTGCTCCCAAATGATGGAAAGATAGCCACAAAGCGAGTTCAAGAAGTGAAAATATTCCTCGAACGAGGCATGAACACAATTTAATTGATGTTTCAGTTTTCACGAGATGGGCATTTATGACATTCCAAGTGCGTTAGATAGATAGATAGATAGATATCATTTATTTTGCCAAAGATTACAGTTTTGTAATATAGCAATAGTCAAATATATAAATATACACAAAAAGATGTATACATACATATATAAACGAATACTAACACATATATAGCTTTAAAAAAAATATATCACAAACTAAGTATATAAACACTGGGTAATATTAAAGACGAATAGACAAATTATTCAAAGTACTCTGACAGATGGTAGAAGCACTTATCTATTAAAAATTCCTTGAGAGTTTTCCTGAACTTGGTAAAGCTGACAATATTTTTAATCGTGTCAGGTAACTTATTAAAAATACGCAACCCCATGTATTCGGGTGAGTTATAGCTTATACCCATTTTTGCAAATGGCACACTGAAATTATTTTTATTCCTGGTATTCATTGAATGCATATCTTTATTCAGTTTGAAGCTATTTCTATTTTTAAAAATGTATATAGACATTTCCAAAATATATAAAGAAGTAAGCGTTAATACCCTAAACTCTGTAAATATGTTTCTACAAGAATGAGTATATTTCACTCCAGCAATACATCGGATAATGCGCTTTTGTGAAATAAACACATCTGCTGCTAGAGTGGAGTTACCCCAAAGACAAATACCAAATCTAATGCGGGAGTCTACTTGTGCATAATACAAATTCATCATTTGTCCTCTATTTAGAACACATTTAACATTTTTGAAAAGGTAATGGATTGAATTAAGTTTTGATATCAATGTTTCACATTGTGGTTTCCAAGTGAGAGTTGGATCAATCTTGATTCCCAAAAAACTGATCGCCTCTACACTATCTCGTACCATACAGTTGTTAATAGATATATTTAGTGGATCACATACTTTTTGTCTGTTATGAAATGTCGCTAATTGAGTTTTTTCAGCATTGAAAAATAATTGATGTTCCTCAAACCATTCACGTGTATTTTCTAATAAATTTGTAATATCTGTTCTAATATTTATTGCTGACGGATTTGAGATAATTAACGATAAATCATCTGCATACATTGTGAAAAACTGATTTTTCAGAAATAAATCAAGGCTATTTACATACAGCAAAAATAGGCAAGGTCCCAGCACTGAACCTTGTGGAACACCCGATTCCACTGAAGAATAGTCTGAATTATATTTTTTAATTTCAGTCAGATCTGTATATTGTATTTGGACAAATTGTTTTCTATACTTCAAGAAAGATGATATCCAGCTTAGAGGCTGCCCTCTTATTCCAGAGTCATACAGCTTTGATAGTAAAGTATCATGATTGACACAGTCGAATGCCCTGCTGAGATCACAGAAAATCCCAACAGGACACTCGGCGGCCTCAATACATTTGATAATCTGACTATAAAAGGAGTGAATTGCGGTATCAATAGATTTTCCTGCACGAAATCCATGTTGTTTTTCTGTTAATATTTTGAATTTTTCTAAGAAATCATCAAGACGTGATAAAAAGGCATATTCAAAAATTTTGGAGACTGAGAGAGGGACCGTTACTGGTCTATAGTTTTCAAGTAATAATTGATCCTTTTTTTTAAATATTGGAATAATTTTCCCCACTTTCAAACAGGTCGGAAACGTGCCTGAAGTGAATGATAAATTCACCAGGTGAGTAAGTGGCTTTTTTACAAAGGGTATTATTTTTTTCACTAAAAACATAGGTATATCATCAGAGCCTGATGAACTTTTATTTTTCAATTTATTTTTAAGAAGTTTTTCCAATTCATCTTCTCCATAAGGGGTTAAGAAAAAGGAATCATATCGGATAACTCTACAATCTAATACATGAGTTTTATTTTTGTTTGTCAAGTTTTCAATTATTTTTTTCGGAGCATCTGTAAAAAACCCGTTGAAAGATGAGGCAATCAAATGGGGATCATGTATTTCTTGATCCTCTACCCTTATTTCTAGGTTTACGTGTTTTTTATTTTTATTTGATATTTCATCTATCACTTTCCAAGCAGTTCTAGATGGATTGCTTGAATTGAATATTTTATTTTGGTAATATTCTTTTTTTACTTTGGATATCAGATCAGTGTGTCTTCTTTTTGATTCTCGATAAGCTGGTTCAAGAACAGGATATCTTTTACATAAAAAGCTCAGGTCTTTAAGATTAGTGCTTGATCTTATGACCTCATCATTTACCCATTTCTTGTTAGGTTTACGTTTACTGTAATATTTCCTTTCAGGAAAGTAAAGATTGAAGTAATACAGGATAATTGAATAGAAATACTCAAAAGCTGAATTCAAGTCTTCGATACAGTATAGAGGCTCCCAGTCCTCCTCAACCAAAACCTTTTCAAATCGTTCAACATTAACTGCGTTGGATCTAGTAGCTCGAATATCTGGGAAGCCCAAATCTATATACATTGGATATTCCATGGGCACAACAGCGATGTTCGTTTATTCCACTCTGTATCCTACTGAAGCTTCTGAAAGATTGGCTGGAGTGATAGCCTTAGCACCTGTTGCGAATGTGACAGAGATAAGGTCGATTGTCAGTTACTTTGCACCGTTCTGGAGATTTCCAATCAAAGTAAGAACCTACGTGTTCATCAGAATAATTCATAATATCAACCACTCTGATAAAGATTTCTCGATCGAGTTATATACCTATAGTCACCTTGTATAAATTTTCTGAAAATCAAGCATAGTAAAGAGTTTCTCGGTATAGATCTGATTTCCTGATGAACAAAAGCTATCCTAGGAGATATTGTCCATACATATTGTCAACAACTCAATCGATGAACTTTTCATTATTGATTTGAATCATGCAGCTATTAGGCCTTCAGATGCAGACTTTTTGCTTCCTTGTTTCTGTGGAAAAACTACCCAGCCAGCCCAGGTAGAACATCATATTGGCTAGAACCTGGTTTCACATCAGATCAATATTCGAATATTGAATATGGAATAACCAGATTGTTCCAATATCAAACCAATTTTTCATTTCCATATTCAATGATGAATCCAGTGCGAATTTTGTAATAACATTGAAATTTCGTGACCAGCCGATATTCATTTGCCATTTGATAATTTCGAAATATTAACGATGACAATATGTCATTTCCTATGATGTTCTAATATTGTATTTTCAATATCGAATCGAACTTGGGAAAGAAATTGCATCAATATTAGATCCATGATGGTTAGTGAATATTGCATTTCTTTGTCCAACGATATTGCACTGATGGCTCTTCAATATCAAGTGGATATAATGAAAAAGATCACATTCATATCAATTTTGAATTGATTCCAATATCGGATCAGATAATTATTGACTATTACCTAATATTTGCTAGGAACATTGTTTCCATATGTGAATTCATTATTCAGCTGATATTAGTTTTTAAATTATATTGAGACCCATTTCAGATAGATATATCGAGAAATATATCCACCAACCAATTTTGAACTGATAATGGACTCCCAATATCGAATCGGTATTAGTGATATTTGTTTCAGTGTTTGAGCAACGTTATAACAGCTGGCACCACCAAATTTCGGAGCATCCGTTCATCTTGGTATTCTTGGATACAGAGAACGAAAATGGATCTGATACATAATGCTGATATGTGTACCAATATCGCTTATTTTTGCTCAATGAGGCTCATACGGCTTTTAATTCAGAATTTGAATTTTGTTTCCATAACGAAATTCAATAGTGATTAAGTTTTATAATTCAACTTAAGATAATATTGCAAAATGATCACATCCTTATTTCGGCCAATATGCTAGGCACATATGAATTCGATATCGAATTTAAATATGAGAATTATTATGAGAAACCAATTCTCATGAGTTGGCATCATATCTTTGCATACCAATCAACAAAAATTCTGTAAATTCAACAATATCTGAGTGTCATATATCCACGACTGCAACGAATTTGTCTTCTCAGTTTCCACCTCCAAATTCATTTGATGTAATTAATTATTGATTCAAATCAATAGCAAGATTTGATTGAATGAACAAACACTATTTTGTTCCTATAATACAATATCTCTGGTCTGATATATGAACTCATTCTGTTGATTGAAATGATCATGTTATTTCATTCAAGTGATAAGTGAATGACCAAAATATTATTGTTTCTATCCAATGACAAATTTCATTCGATCAACAAAATTATATTCAGAATTGACAAAATAATTTTGTTACTGCAACGAATCGTGCTTTTTCTTCTGTGTGGATGAGGCATTAAGAAACAAGAATCAAATTAAACATAGCACCAAGATTGCAGAATGTTCACATTAATTCATTGGCCAAGTATTCAAAATCAATATTTCTCCAACATTCACTCCATATTAGTTCAATATCCAACCAACACTCATAGTTGGGAGGAAGCTGGCATCATCAGTCGAAAAAGTTTATAGTGGTTGAGAGAACCAATTAGAGAATGCATGGGAATTAGTGCTGTATCATCATTATGTTGTTTTGATAACAGTCGTGGAGGACAGATAAAAAAAATTCTTGATTCAATGCGCAACATCATTGATTCAACCCTCTTGAATTGGTCCAACCAAATATTTGTTCGAATTTTCGACTAAACATTCTTGACTCATTCAAAGAATCTTGATTCAACTGAATATTCGTGTATTATCACTACGTATTGGTCGAAGCAAGAATCAACTAGTTTGAAACAAGAAAATTCACTATTGTCAAGTTAAGGCAGATTCATGCAGCATCATTCAACAATTATCAAGTAACATTCATCATTTTACGCGTAGCAATTGAAAGTTGAACTTCCTTTTTTCAATAGAGGTGTTTATTCAGACATATAACAATAATCAATTGACAAGTAGCAAGTAAGAGAATGGACAACTTCCAACTTTATTACTTCAATTGAACCAGGTTTTCTCCTATTGCGCAACTAGTACGCAGATGAAAGATGAAATAATTGTGAATGAAAGTAACCCAGTCTCTTCCAGATCAGAAAACATTCTGGAATTTGAAATTTCAGCTCTTTATCTAAATTGTATACAACGAATTCTCAAGGTTATGGCTCTGATAGCCTTGACTTAGCGCATATGTGCTGCGTACTTTTCATTCATTGATTGTTAATTTGGTTTGCATAAATGTCAATATTCTCATCACTCGCCAATTGATAATTGTAAATTGATGAATTCAACTTGATAATTGTCAAATGGTGCTGCATAAATCAACCTTCAATCTCTCACCTCATGTTAGTCTGGTAGCTATTACCTAACAACATCAAAACTGTACCATGGATTCGATAGTACTGGAGTTTGACATGATAATTAGAATTCGTATGATACAATAACTCATCGGCATATTATAATTTGAATACTTAGATATTCAGGAAATGACAGATATAATGAATGGTGTGATAACATGAATGTTGTTTCACTCTGCTCTATATTCTGCAGCCTATTGCAAAGCTGCTCTTCAATGGAATACTGCTGCCCAGAAATGAAGCTATAAACAGGTTTTGCGCCTATGGACCAATCCCTATTTTCCTCTGCTATGCATCCAGGGTTTTGATTTTTGGACCAGATTTCAAAAGCTTGGACCCTGTAAGTATTCAATCAATTCATATCTGATAGTTTCAATATTGGCTCAAAATAATGCATTGTCCAAGTCGACTAAATCCAAATGATCCAACTGTACTGATATTTTTCCAGCTTTATAGACCAGTGACGAATATAAACCATCCAGATGTCATAGCAGCAAATGTAATAGAGCACTACTGGCAATGTTACAAAACCAGGAGATTCATACAATATGACCATGGTGCAGAGGAGAACCTGATTCAGTATGGAAGTGTAATACCGCCAGACTACCCGATTGAAGATATCCGTACTCCAATGTCATTTTTCGTAGCAGACAATGACTGGATCGCAGAAGAGCATGTAAGAGAATACCACTGTATCCCACTCAAGAATTTATCATTCTGTGATGAGCTGAAAAATCTTCTTTTATTTCTAGAACGCCTTGGCTACATACAATATGATTCCATCACAGTATCGATGTGGATACATCGTTTCATCAAATAAGGAATTCAGTCATGATGACGTCATTACCTCCCGTTACGTTTTCAAGGATTTGATCCAAGGAGTGCTAGCTAAAGTACAACAAATGAAATCAGGTTTATGTTCTTAAGATGATTTGTGCAGTTCAAAATGAAACGGTTGCTAATAAAGATTTGATTTTTGAGATGTACTTTTTGACTTATACTTCTACTTGCTACTGATTATCATATCATCTGAGTGGTTTTTGCAAGTCACTGGGAGTCAGCCCCTTTCTTAAGAATAGAGTTAATCTGATCTGCTTCTTTTACAAGGTCTATCGAAATCTATCTCAATGATCTTTCAGAGATTCTGAATAATATCCAGGGATTCAATCAATCAATCAATCATTGACGAAGAGTTCACATGAAAAAACATATGAAACGGTCAAGTAACATAACAGTTGATAATCAAATGTTGTGGAACTGTAAGTATGGAGTGAATGAATTAATAAATAGAATTCAATTTCAAAAACTACCCCAAAATCTTTGATCAAAAAGTCTTTATCATTATGAATTGATGATTATGAAGTGTCTCCTCAACAAGAACTTGCTTTCAAGATTCTCCAGAGTTATTTTGTAAAGGGAATGTTCTTGAGACTGACCGGAAGATGGTGATACAATATGGCAGCAAAATAGACCACTGAATTTTCAATCAGATTTGTTGATGGGATAGGCAGTTTCAACTTATTATTCTGGCGAGTGTGACTGACAACTATTTTATGTGATGATTTATTTTTTTGATGCAGGAGTTAGGATTATTTGCTCTTTTAATAATTGTTTACTTGGTCCAGCTCCACACAAGTATCGTACTGCTGAGAATGAAAATTGCATTGGAGTTGTGTTGCCTGCAGTTGCCCCAGGAAGGTATACCATATCTGATATGCAACCTTATTGAAGCGTAGTACACCACTTTCGTTGAGGCATTATCCAATTCATTGAGTACGATTCGCGAGGCTTCATTCCCAAATTATCAACATGACTCTGATAGTTCAAGTGAATTCCAAGTAATTTGGTTGTAACTGTCTGTGAAATGATCATATCGCTATCTAGATGGATGTCCTGAAGATCACAATTGAAATATGTGACGTAGGTTTTGTCTGTGCTGAATGAAAGCAGAGTCCAGTTGCACCACTATCTAACACTAGAGGCATCTTCAGCTCTTTCATCGTGGAGATTGTTTCGGTCAGTCTCATGCCATAGAAGGATAGTATCGTCAGCAAAAATAGTGAACTTACCATCAATTACAAGATTCTTTATGTCATTGAGATATAGTAGAAACAGGATTGGTCCGGCATTGGATGGGCATTCAGGGTATGAAGTGATCTTGATTGCGTTGCTAAGGAAGGTATACTGAGTCTGCATTCTCCGGTTGAGGATTCATCTGATGTACAAGCGAATGTCACCTGATGAGGAATCATAGGAGAAAGAATTCAATGAGCCCTCATATCACAGAGCTCGTAACCAGTCTGTATGTGTCTAGCGTGGCATCACTGAATCGAAATCAATAGGCATATAGTATACGAAAAACACGATCTCTGCAATTTAGAAACATAGTAAACGACCAGATTATCTCAAGACTTGAAGACAGACTCACATACGCTTGTTTGAATATTAGGATAGAATGAATTTCTAAATAATTTTGATACATGTGATCAGTTGATGAGCTGGCGAATATTTTTTGTTCTAGTGGGATGACTGTAGTCTAGCTAGGTTATTGCTTTCCATATTCTTCCTATTTCATTCTGCCGATATCCATACCACTCTAACTTTTCTTGATTCGAAAATATTCTGAATAAAAATCTGTCAGAAAGTTGGAATCCATTCCAATTGAGTAGCAGTTTAGGTCAGGTGAGATAATGAAGTGATAACATTTGTTTAAAACAAAAAAAATATTCGAATCCTCACTGCACTTACGGTTCAACAGCTCCAGAATAGGATAATTGCATTCATGTCTCCGTTTGCTGTTCTACTTTTGTTGACCATCTACTTATCAAAAAATATCTTTGCGATAAAAACCTGTGAATCATTCAGTGAATATTACAAAATCGCCGGTGGTAAATGCTTCGACAATCCAGATGCTGCAGCTACACCTGTGAGTACTCAGAAAATACATCAGCAATATGTTCTTTGAAGCGAGTTCAAATGCCTCCATGTAACTGTCCTATATAATTTTCAAATTCTCCACTTGCAGCTCAAAATTTTGAAAAGGTGGGGCTGTCAAGCCACCGAATACAATGTTACCACTAAGGACGGATACCAAATTTCTATCGTAAGGGCTTGGCCCACAAATATCACACACCCCATTCCCATTGTGATGGGCCATGGTATATACATGAACTGCTTAGGATTCATCAGTAGGTTCAAAAAAACCATCGGTCAGTATGAATATATCAATAATATCCGATGAGCTACTTATAAAACAAGCTGACCCATTTCTTGATTATTCAAATATGAGTTATCATATCAAACTACGAGGGTTTCCTGGAATAACATAAAGATTTCAATCACAGGAACAAAATAGTAGGACAGTTCATATGAAAATGGCTTATAGCCATGAAGGGGAGCTTCGGGATGATGGTTCTTGATGAATATTCTCGAAACCTCTTCGTTGAGATAACAAAATTTCGTATATATATACCCAACTTTCCATGGGAACGTTTGACCCTATTTTCGATTGGCCCAATTTTCGATCCGCCCAATTTTCGAATCACACAATTTTCGATCCACCCGATATTCGATTGTTGAAAATCAATATAAGTTATAGGATGAGGGTTCATTTGAATGAGTCAAGTTAGATTATTTAGACAAATATGTCTCATTTGTTCTTCCAAGTAATTTTCCGAAAAATATACTATTTAGGAAGGTTCATGTAGGCAGGGTAAGATTATTCACTTAGGCCGAGTGAGGTTAGATTGTTTCAGAAAAGAAGTCTCTTGTGTACTCCCAAGTAATTAAGTATGCAAAAATATACTTTTTAGGAAGAACGTTCATTTAGGCCGAGTTAGGTAGGTTGGGTTAGGTTAGGTAGGTTAGGTTAGGTAGTTTGGAAAAGGTAGTCTTCCTTATGCAGAAATAGGAGATTTTCCTTCCTTATATCACGTCAAAATTTGGTTCGATCGAATTTGGGGCGAATCGAAAATTGGGCGCATAAAAAATTGGGGAAATTAAAAATTGGTGAATCGGAAATTGGGTAAATCAAAAAATGGGCGAATCAAAAATTGGGTGAATCGAGAATTGAGCAAATCGCTATATTCACCATATTTTGACTAGGAAGAGATTATTGGACATAGTGCAAAGGATATGCAGCATTTGGTAGAGAACGATTTTTGATGCATTTCGCCGCTTTCGGGTTGAATCGCTTCAAAAACATCGTAACATTTTCAGTTCAATCAGTGATCAAAAGTCTGAATCTTGAACCACCCTGTATTTGTTTCAAATAAATGTCAGTAGATAGTAAATCAAAAGTTGAGATAGGGACATGAAAGCCGTTTTGACCAATAATAAATAGTTTCGACTCAAAAAAATCCTAAAGTTGTGAAATCTCGATTTTGAACACCCTATATCTCTGTAATCATTCCTGCTAGACCCCAATTGTGATGCATTGATGAAATCAGCTTTTCAGGGAGAATCTAAAAATGCAATAAAATACAGGGTGTTCGATTTGAAATAACAAAGTTGTTGCTTATTTTCGTTAGAAGCGGCAACGCCGCGGAGCTGAAAATATTTTAGAACCATGTCCCCCTCGAAAATGTAGTTGATGTGTCTCGGGATTTTTCAAAAACATACACACATTTCGAGAAAATTAGGGTGGGAAGTCCTGAAATGAACACCCTGTATGTTTATATGAACGTTTATTATTATTTCAACGAGTACAACACCCTGTTGAATTTTTCGTATTACAAACCGGACCACCCTGTATTCTATCAGTGTATGTTATGGATATAATCGAATCTTTGGATTTGCAAGATGGTCGACTTCTATGGTATCAGTTTGTGGGCCATATAGATTCTTTGCTGGCAAGTCAGCATCAGAGTTGATCATGTTTGAAAGAAAAAAAAATACTTCTGGGTTAGTCAGTTATTTGGTGTTTACACACATTTGCTCAACTCCTTTATACCTAAATGAAACATAGCTATATTGTTTTCAGCATATAATCTAATAAAAGAAGGATATGAAATCTACCTTATCAACTTCCGGGGTACATTGTTCAGCATGGATGTCTTCAAAGGTATGGTTACTCCTGACAAGCTAATTCTTCTTCTTCTTATTGGCTATGATGCTTTTTTCGATTGGTTCTGCTGATATGACCCCAGCATTATCTCAGATTTGTGTTCAGTATTGCCTTATCTAATTCACGAAGAAAAAACAAATCACTTGTGCAGGAACAATGCAAATCGGAATAATCGCGGAACGGAACTGAACGAAAACTTTGAGACGATTTCGCAGTGTCAGCATTCAAAAACAGCGTCGAAAGCGAATTCATTTAATATTTTACTTTCGCTGAATGAGTATGTTTCCTTGTAATTAGAAAACTTTTTCCGATCCTGCGGGAAATTCGTTTTACCGTTCTAATTGATCACTTCAGCTCACTTTTCAGTCCCAGAAAACAGATGGAGAATTCTTTCCGGGTTCAATGAGTGACTGTTTGTTACAGAGACAAAAGTTTTCTGATAGACATGATGACGGAAAATGTCTATAGCATGTCCCCAACAACCATGGTCTACTAGATATAAACGGAGTTGTAAGATCACAGATGTTCTCAAAAATGAATTGAATGATATACAGGGTGTATTTAAATAACACCGAAAAAATTCGATGAGTGTTTCCTTGTGTTCATAAAAACATGCGTCTTAGCTTAAAAAATCCTAAATCTCGATTTTGAACACAATATGTCTCTGTAATCATCCTCGCTAGACCCCAAGTGTGATAATTTGATGAAATTAGATTCCCAGGAAGAATCTGAAAGTTCATCAGAATATAGGGTGATTTTCTTGAAATAAGGAAGTGAATAATAATTCCGGAATAGTTGAAGAAGTGGCAACATTGGCGATAACATCTTCAAATTCGACAAGTTCTGAAATCACTTTGTACA